ATTTCCTCTAAAGTGGACTCATCAAAATCATCATCCAGAATACTTGGAGCCGAGAACGAATTTCTTGTACTAGAACATTCAGAACTTTTTAAAGGAGTCTTGAAACAATCTAATCCCAACTCCTTTGAAGTAGCGTCAATTGCAATAGCAAATGACTTCGATACCGGAGTGTTCCCCGAAATCTCGGACAATGGAACCCTCTTCGCACCATTATCACAAACTGGGGCATCATTTGCATCTAAATCCGAAACCCTGGAACTAAAAAAATGGCAAGAAAACAAATGGGAAATCTCAAAATCTTGAACTAATTCAAATGAAAACAAACACAACAGTTCTAAGAACACATACCTGAGAGAAAGTGGATTAGCAGAATGGATACGATTAGAACACTGAGAAATGGGTTGATGGGAGTGCAAGAGGCGAGGGCGTTTGCGAGCAAGAAGAGCTTTGGCAGCTCTGAAATTGCGGGAGATTCGATCCCTTTCTTCCTCGGTGATGCCAGAATTTTCATCTTCGATCATTGCTTCGGCAGAAACTAAACTGAAATGCAAAACCTACCAGCCGAAGAATCGGAGATTGAAGACATGGATTTCCAAATTGCAGGTGTTGGTTCAAGAGTTGTGTCTCTTCACTTCAATTTTCCCCCCAAAACATCAAAAAGTTCAAATCAGGCGCAATAACGTTTATCTATAAGGAATTTCGCGGAATTAGTGGAAATAACAATAATTCGCTCATTGTTCATTAAGAAAAAATTTTAAAAAATTTTACATTTATGCAATAATCATTATGTTTCTTATTTCGTATCCATTATTTCTTAATATATATTATTGATTCATCTGACTCAAAAAAAAAAAAAAAAAAAACTCATAATTATCGACAAACACGGTTGTATTAACTACAAAAGAAAAAAACATCAACATCACGTGGTTTGATGCATTTTCCGTGAAGAAGATTTGGATCAACACATTTTATTCAAAATAAGAAAATGATCAAACTTGACATTATTAAAAAATCTAAAAACTCCATCAACCAAACAACATTGAATTAGAGGGCCAATGGTTTATACGTGATACCATTATATATATATATTATATTCTCTACCTTTCGGATATTCGTTATTCAATCTCAATCAAAAATCATAAATTTGACACGTATTTGTAATTTTATAAAAACAAATTTACTTTTCAAATTTTATGAGTCACAGTTGTTGAGAATTGTAGGGAGTGAGTCACATTTACTTATTTAGGGAACGATGATAGGTTTACAAGTAAAGGAATACATCTTTTGGTACAGGCATTTTGGGGAAGTCCAGAGCAAAGTCATGAGAGCTCATGCTCAAAGTGGACAATATCATATCATTGTGGAGAGTCGTGACTCCTAACATAGTATCAGAGTCATGCCCTAAAGTTAGCCATGTTGATAAAATCCTTCAATGTCGAACAAAGAACGAGAAATGTGGACATCGGTTAAGGGGAGGCTATTTGAGAGCTCCATAAGCCTCAGGGGATGGAGCATGTCATCGACCACCAATCCCGTCCCAGTAGTTACTCCCTTTCTAATCACAACGCTTAAATTTACAACAAGAGATTATAATAATGAAATGAGCAGCAAAGTTGGTGTAGCACACACGTTCATAATAGAAGCTTGGAAATACAAACACACCACTCAATCCAAATAATACACACAAACTTCTTCTTACAGCCCTGCATGCACGTAAGCTTATTATTATTATTATACTATTATATCTTATCATAGCCGTGGAGATTACACCTCCAGCTCGACGTGTCGGAACCAAACCTTCAGCTCCAGAACGGAGCCCTCTTTGGCGCCGCCAGCCGACGTGTCGCTAGGAACAGGATTGTGTTGAGTTATTGGTGGGCCGAAAACTCCGGTTTGGGGATGTGGCGCCCAGTAGTCTTCGGATAAGGAGTGGATCATATGATCTGGCACCACTGTCGGGCAGACTTCCTCCTCTGGGTTCTTCTCATACGCTGACCAATGACCTGCCCTGAATGCAAAATATATATATTATTAATATGTTGACCGTATGAACTGTGAGATCCTACGTCCATTGAGGAGGGTAATGAGTGTCAGTGAAAACGCTCTCAAAACGCTCGGAGTCAAAGGGTGTATTGTGAGATCTCTAATTCATTAAAAAGGAGAACAAAACATTCTTAAAATTGTGAAAATTGAGCGTAGATAATATATAATTGACTACAAAAATAAATAAATAAATAAATAGACGATGTGACGACAAGGATGTCAAAATCCATGCCTCTCAATGGTAGGTGATTCCATGCCTTTTCTTTAAAATAAAATAAATTAAAATAAAATAAATTATAAATTTATTCTTATAATTTTTAATTAATCTTGATATTTATTCAAATTTAAGATTAAGCTCGATCAAGATGACAGGTGTGATAGCATATAAGATAAATATAAATTTGGGTTTTTTTTTTTTTTTTTTTGTTTCCTTTTATTTTAGTCAACTTTGGACATTAAATTATTATATATTTTGGTCTTTAAATTAGCTAAATAGGTTAAATAAATAGTTAAATTTCTGTCTAATAGCTCTCAACATAAATTCATTTTTTTTAATTAACAAACCTTCTAAATATAAAATCAAATTTAACAATTAATAAAAATTAATAAAAATACCTCTAGATTTCGAAACTTATATATTATTTAAGGTTGGTTTTTTTATACGAATAGTCCATATTCTATTTCAAAAATGTCCTTAAACTTTTAAAACTAAACGGTTAAAATTTAAAAATTAGTTTTATTAAAAAAAAATTAAAAATCTTTACGGTCACTGTCCAAGAACACCTCACAAATTATTTACAAAGATTCTAACATTACTTTAAAAAGTTTATTAATATTTTTGAAACACGAGACGAAAATATTTTTAAATATTTTTAAAAATATATATATTTTTTTAAGTCTAAGGTATTAACCAAACTTTTTGGAAATTTACATTTTGGACCATATTTTAAAACTTATGTTAGTTTAAGAAGTATTTTTTAATCTAAATATAAAATTAAAATATATTTTTATTAATTTAACGTACACAAAATGTTTGAAATCGGAAAAAGAAGAGAAATAAGAGATAAGAGTACCGGAGGGTGAAGAGAGAGGGCGAGAGGCGGCGGAGTGGGTTCCGCAAATGGGCGAGTCGTGGTCGAGCAGCGATTATAAGGTTAGAAGCGGCGGCCATGCAATTGAAGAAGAAGAAGAAGAAGAAGAAGAAGAAGAAGCTTTCAGAAGAAGAATAGGAGTGAGTGGTGAAGGGCTGTCGAGTTTAAAGGGGATTTATAGTCCCCTTTATTCTCTGCCAAATTCACAGATGCTCATTTTTTCTTTATTTTAATTATCTTTAATAAAATTAAATTTTAATATAGGGTATAACAAAAGGAATAATAATTATAATTTTATTATTCTAAAAGTAAAATTAAATTTTTAAAAAGAATAAATAAATAAAAGGAGATATGGGTTCCCTAGTAATGGATTTCCTGGGTCTCCACCGGCCCCGTACGCCTCTGAAGACTCTAAGTACGTTCCCACTAAGAAAATTCCTTTTTTTTTTTTTTTTTTTTTTTTTTTTTTTTTTTTTTTTTTTTTTTTTTTTTTTTTTT